TCCATAGTTCCCAATTACTAGTGTGCGTGTTATGGAATTGTCGAAAGTAAAATTAAAAACTTAAATATTATATTAAGTGTCTAGGTTCATTTGTCATTTGAGGTGTTCATCATGAAATGTTCATGAGTTATGATTCAGTCGAAGTCAGTACTAAGTGTTGTGTTCATTAGATAATGTTCATCAGTTATGATTCAGTCGAAGTTAGTAATTTTAATTATATATGTTATGTTATTAGTCTATTGTCATGATGATTTTATCCTTTGAATTGCATAACATATAATCTCTTCTTTATCAACATATATCAAGATATTACAAACTTTTAGAAAAAACGTGATATGCCTATATTATCATATATCGCGCTAGAATTTATTTCTACAATACTCTCAAGAATCTCCTCCAGATTACGCAACCCATGCAGTATTAGTTACTCAAGCATTGGAAAATTATCATTACCTGCTTCCCTCCTTTGCAGATCTGCTTCTACAATTCGTAGATATTTTAATTTGTGAAACACAACATCTTCATTTAGGGTCCAATCTGTTCCAGCGAATGCATAAAATCGTTCGAGATTGGGTAAATTAGCTAGCAAAGTCATGACTTCCCATGGTATACAAGTACCTTTTAAGGAAAATATCCCTAGAGAAAATCATGATCGGGTCAATTGATTGTAAAATCTTTAGCTCTTTTAGATTTGGAGTTCTTCTTATGATTTCCGCAGCAAAAGGAGAATAATAAAGATAAAGTATGTTCAAGTTATTGAAAAGCAAAGTTTTTTCTTCAATACCATGATTTTCTGCCTCAAGAAGATTAGATATATATATATTAGCAAAGTTATTCAATTCTTCCAGAAACATATCTCAAATGTACAAGTTGAGGTATTACACAAGAGAAATAATATTCAATTGAAAATATGTCCAATACCTTAAGCAACTTCAACTGTAAAACATCTATTTTGGAATATCTACTTGCATTGAAATAAAGGTGCGGATTATACCATTGCTATGTTGCATACGATAATCATGTTTCTCTTCAAGTGTAGATAGAAGGATCACTCGCCGTTGATCATATATGGATTTACTTGGGCATAGTTGGCGAAAAATATCATGAATTTTCACGTTCTTATCCTTCCATTAGTCCTTCGTGTACAAGTCAAAATTAGACTTCTATCAGTTAACTCTTCTAGATACTCCTATGCCATCACTTCTAACCTTTTATTGTTTCTAATCAACTTGGAAACATTAATCTCTTTATCTTCAGGAAAACCTCCAAAGAAAGAATTGATTGAAATTGTACGGATACAGTACCAAAGAATCAGTTCAGATTTTCCTCAACATTATTCCAATTATCATGTGTTGGGTCCATTTGACAAAGAAGTCCAGCAACGACAACAATCGAGAGAGGTAATCCTCAACATTGTAGTACAATATGCTTCCCTAGTTCTACAAGTAGAGGAGGAAACAAATCTTTTTTTGAATAATTTTTTGGTGAAGTTCAAACTGTCATCAAGACTTATAAAAGACTTTCTATGAGGTGGAAAATCAGGACAGTTGACATAATCAGCAACATACACGAGCCGAGTGGTTAATAGAATTCGACTTCTACTGTCATCATTTGGAAATATTCTTTGCATATGGTCCCATGCCTCAGTACTCTTTACACAATCTTCATTAGTTGATCATCGCTCATTTCTTGATTTCTTCATGTAATTGTAGAGACAACTTCAAGAAGCATTTGTCTCTCATTGTATTCTTCGAAGATAGTGACCCATGCATGTTTATCAAATTGAGAACGAATATATGAATCATCATAAACTTTTTTTGCTAAGAGTTGTCTTACCTGTACTGCACATACCAAAAATTGGTACGACAGCTAAATCGTCTTTTTGGGCAGTGAGGTGTTCAATTATGGTGTTGAAGTCATCCTCCATCCCAACAATAGTATTTTCCTAAATTGTACTTTTCTCTGGTGTTAGTGTGAGTGACATTTTAATATTCTAAAATGTTGCCGTTGGTTGACTTCTCATCATGTGCTAATGTTAATGATAATATTGATTCCTGCATATTACTCCTAGAGTTAGTGCATATATGTTACTGCTTGCTTAGTGCATATATGTTACTACTCTTTTTCTAGCAGCATGTTTTAGCCGTTAGTGGCCATCATTTCTCCCCCATTCAATCTCCATTATCTCACTCTTTATTTCTCCATTGTTCTTTGTAACCTATGTACCATATGTAACCTCTAGGCCATTTCTCTTCACTATTTACTACCCCATTATCTTCTTAATCATTTCTAGGAAGACTTCTTCTACTATAAATAGTGGTGGTCTTCATTTGGTTTAAGACACTAGAAAAATATAGAGTGAAAAAAGTTAGTAGAAAAAAAGAGAGTTCTTATTAGTTGAAGGGAGGTGTTCTTTTTGTGGAGCTTTGGACTCAACTCTTGTCCATAGTTGTTGAGTTACACTTTTGTGATTAGGCTGTTGTATCCTGGAGTGGGCAAGTCAAGAAGGACTACTGCTGGACCGGTGAAAAACATTTGTTGCAGTGTGCTTGAATCTCCTTAAAGAGAGCGAGATATCCGCGCCTTAGCTTGAAGTGATTTTTATTTCTTCATTTTCTTTCAATTGTAATCTTGTAACTTTGTTATTTTGTAAATTTTCACTAACAATTTTATGGAGATTGAAAATGACTACAATTGAAAAAACCGCGGATGTCAAGATGGGAGATCTTAACAAGCCATTTCGGTTCAATGGTAACCATTTCAAGAGATGGAAGGGTAAAGTAATTTTCTACTTAAGTCTTCTCAGTGTTTCTTATGTGTTAACTGAGAAGAATCCTAATAAAGTTGACATCACCTCTATGAATGATGATGAAACTATTTCTCATCTAGAGAAAGTGGAAGAGTACGATTGTGATTCCAATAAGTGTCGGTATGATATTCTTAATTGTTTGTCTGATAATTTTTATAATTATTATGATAGAACTTACTCTAGTGCAAAGAAGATTTGGAAAGCATTGAAGAGTAAGTATGATACCGAAGAGGCTGGCGTGAAAAAATATGCGGCTTGTAGATTTTTTCGTTTTCAAATGGTGGACAACAAATCAGTGGTAAACCAAGCTCAAGATTTTATAATGATTGTCGGAGAACTTAGGTCTGAGGAGGTAAAAATTGGAGATAACCTTTTTGTTTGTGGTATAGTAGATAAACTTCCACTTTCTTGGAAGGAATTTCAATAAACTATGCGCCACAAACAAAAGGAAACCTCTCTTGAAACCGTGATAATGAAAATCTGCATGGAAGAAGAGGCAAGGGGCCAAGATGCACTTTTACAAACAGAAGAGAGAAACATCAGAACGAAGGTAAATTTAATTACTTAAAATATTGCTACTCCTGAAACTCACACAAATACTTCTTTGAAGCCTAAGGAGAAAAAAATCAAGAAAAATAATGGTAGACCTCCCAAGAAAACTAATGGTGAAAATAACCAAGAACAAAATCAACAAGATCAAGATAAGGGACCGTGCTTTGTTTGTGGCAAAAGTGGGCATGTTGCTCGATTTTGTAGATTCTCGAAACATGGTCCTAATCCACAGGCAAACGTTACCGAAGAACCTTTT